GTGCTAGTTGTTCTAATCCTGCATTGTCAGCATAAGCCTCACTACATCATCAGTATCATCCAGTAGTAGACAGAGGCCAACGTGAAAATCATGTTCATTTCATGAAGTTCGTGAATTGAGCCGGATGCCTTGAGCGGATGCCGGATTTTTCATGCTTTGATTATCAAGCCGAAATACACGCCTGGACGGCAGGCCGGTTGTGTGTCCTGTCATCCTATGATATCCACCGCTCATGCAGCATCTTCCGTATCAAATCATGCCCATCTGCGCCCAGCCGTAACCGAAGGAAAGCTTAGAACTGTAAGGGAGTGAAGAACCACCTGTTCTTTCCGGACTGGTATCGCTCCTCGAATGCCTTCTTGACGGTCTTCTTGGCCTCCTCCCGTTGCGAGACCTCCTTGAATGTGTCGGCGGAGATGACGCCCTTGAGGTTCTCGAGCTCGATGGTGTAGCGGGTGGGCATAATGTGGGTGTCTGCGTCTATCAGCGGCTGCCCAGCGAGTGCGTCCTCATGTCCACGTACAGTTGACCTGCTTGACGAAAGGCTTGACCTTGCTCTTCTTGGCCTGCTTGGTCTTTGACATGCGGCGGGTGACCTTGGAGGGGTAGGTCTCGATACCGGCAACGAGCGCGTGGGGGAAGGGGTGCGACTTGGTGCCGTTGTCAAGTGGTGAGATGATCACGCACTTCTTTCCGGCGTAGCGGCCCCGGGTGATGATCTAGGCGGACTGTGAGTGAGTGCGATGGGGGTGTTTCGAGCGATTTCAAACGTACGACAACGCGTCCGACCTTGAGGCTGGTGGAATGTTAGCAGCTGTTCTGTCGCATGTTGTGGGCTTTCAAGGGTGCGATTATTGGCGTCCCGCTGCGCATTTCGGGGAGCACCGCGGGGCGCCAATTTGTATCGCAGAGAGGATCGTGTGCAGCATCGGGGCACTCACAACTTCATTTTGGCTGTTGTCCGGGTTAGTGATGGGGTTCTTGGTCCTGGAGTTCGAGGTTGTCGCCAGAGCAAAAATGGTGTGTGGCATGTCGCTTGATCCGATGAGTTTGGCCGGCGCCGCCCCACATTAATTCTTAGCGCCAAACACGCTGGTTGGCTGGCCCCGCCGCCGCCTCTAGGAAATCTTGAAGACCCGCAAAGTTCGCGACGGGCAGTCGACACAGCTGGACAACCACCACCATGAAGATCAAGGCCCTCAGCCGGTCCACGGCGTCCACCCAGGCCCCCGGCTCCAGCGTCGCCAAGGTCACGAGGAACCTCGACCCCAACCTGCATCCGTTTGAACGTGCGCGCGAATACACCAGAGCCCTCAATGCGACAAAAGTCGAGCGCATGTTTGCGCAGCCCTTCCTCGGCGATTTCGAGCCTGGCCACGTAGACGGTGTATACTCCTTCGCCAAGGATCCCAACTCCCTCGAGCATTTCGCCAGTGGCAGTGGCGACGGCATCGTCAAGGTCTGGGACTTTACCAGCAGGGAGGAGAAGTGGCAGGCGCAGGCGCATGAGAACCTCGTCAAGGGCATGTGCTGGACGCGGGACAGAAAACTCATAACCTGTGGATCAGATCGCCAGATTCAGCTGTTCGAGCCATATGCGCAAGCCTCGAAATCGGCGCCAAAAGCAACATGGCACGGCAACTCAGCCTTCACCTCTGTCTCGCACCATCGCTCGTTACCGACCTTTGCTGCTGGATCCAGCTCCATCTCCATATACGATACATCGAGGACATCTGGCGCCCCTGTTTCCAACCTTGTGTGGCCGTCGGTAGGTCTTTCATGCAGAGCAGACCTAAGGCATATACTAACATTCAGTAGGCCATTGACACCATCACGGATGTCAAGTTCAACCAGGTCGAAACCTCGATACTCGCATCATGTGCGACCGACCGCGCTGTCATCCTCTACGACGCCCGCACCAACTCACCCCTACACCGCACTGTGCTCAACTTCCCCGCGAACTGCATCTCCTGGAATCCCATGGAAGCCTACAACTTCGCCGTTGCTTCGGAAGACCACAATGGATACATATTCGACATGCGCAACATGAAGCGTGCGCTGCAAGTCTTGGTAAGTCTCCCATTTCGAGGTCAGGCCAGACTCATTACTAACACCAAATAGAAAGGACATGTTGCCGCAGTCATGTCGATCGAGTTCTCTCCGACCGGAGAAGAGCTCATCACTGGTTCCTACGACCGATCCATAAGGATCTGGGAGCGATCAAAGGGCCACGCCCGGGACGTCTACCACACCAAGCGAATGCAGCGTGTCTTCTCTGTCGCATGGAGTCCCGACAACAACTACGTACTCAGCGGATCAGACGATGGCAACGTCCGTCTATGGAGAGCGAGAGCTTCTGAGAGGCAGGGCGTCAAGTCATTCGCCCTAAAGCAGAAGCTAGAATATGACGCAGCGCTCAAGGAGCGATACAAGCACATGCCAGAGATCAAGCGCATCGAGAAACACAGGCATCTGCCCAAGACTGTCAAGAAGGCGGGTGAGATCAAGAACGAGGAGCTCAAGGCTGTCAAGAGGAAGGAAGAGAACGAGAGGAGGCACACGAAGAAGGGCACGGTCCGGAGGAAGGCAGAACGTGAGAAGATGATCTTGGCGAGAGAGCAATGATAAGTCAAAAGAAGGGTTCAGTACATTTTCTGCATAGCGTTGGCGTTCTTGGTATTCGGGTAGAGGACCTGCGGTACTATACGATGCATCCGAGGGTGTTGATCGTAGTTTAAAAGATATGGGTCATTTTCATTCAATTAGATATTCTCTGCATGAAGACCTACTTGATTTGAAAACGAGGAATTTCGAATATCGCTCCACGTGACATCGCGTGATTGCGTCATACCTCGGTCTAACAATTACCCCAATGTAGTCCACAGGACGAAAGGGCGCGAAAAGTGACATTTGACCGAGATCAAACAACATACTTCATTAACAGATTTGGAACCTTCAGATACCTCCAAGTTGCACCGGTCTACTTCCCAGCAGTGATACACCAATCTGAGTCGCCCAGATCGCAAACATGGCATCTAGATCTGCCCTCCACATCCAAGACACCAAGTTCAACGATCTCGGTCTCTCAAAGTCAACTTTGAACAAGGAGAAAGTTTGCTGCTACACGCGTTCGCTAGAGAACGCCAGCGATGAGAACCCCATACTCGTTCTCATTCATGGATACCCGCAATCGGCTTACATGTAACTTCCTCATCCATCTCCATTCCTGCATTCAACACATTGAAGAGTCTGACACAAGGCCAGGTGGCGACACTTAATCCCTCTGCTCCCATCTAAAGCACCGCTCTTCGTCCCAGATCTTCCTGGCTATGGCGCTAGTGCACCAATTGCGCAGAACGACAAATTGAGCATAGGGACGGCGGTACTCGAGGCGCTGAAGACGGAGGTCAAGAAGGGTAAGAGTCCAGATGGAGATATAAAGGTCATACTCATTGGCCATGATCGTGGAGCGAGAGTTGCCCATCACCTCACTGTTAGCGGGGTGGATGGAGTGAAGATCTTGGGTGTCTGTTTGATCGACATCGTAGGTCCTAGCCTCACACATACTAGTAAGCGTGGTGTACTGATCCAATAGGTCCCGACTTCAACACAATGGCAGCACTTCACCTCCCCAGCCACGGCAGCAAAGGAGATAACAGGCTACTTCCACTGGCCCCTACTCGCAAACGTCGATCTAGCAACGCGTATGATCACCGCTTTCGGCCCCTCCAAATGGTGTCAAGAGATGATCTTGCGTTGGTCTGGAAAGAGCAATGCCGGTATCGAGAAACTGAAGGCTAATGATTCGTTGACCGTCTATGGCGATTTCTTCAATCAGGAACATACGCTGAAGGCTACTTGCGAAGACTACAAGGAAGGTGCTACGACGGATGTGGAGAGAGAGGAAAAGAATCAGAAGGAGGGGAGGAAGATTGAAGTGCCGTTGTTGTTGGTGTATAGTGCGGCGAGTATTGGGAGTAGGTTTGACTTTCCGGATGTGTGGAAGGAGTGGGTTGGTGAGGGAGTCAAGATTGAGAATCATGGGTTGGGGGATGGGGTAGGACATTTTGGGGCGGAGGAGGCGCCTGAGGAGTGTGCAACGGCCATAGTGGATTGGACGAAGACATTTGTCGGACGGTGAATGTAGAGTACTGGAATATTGTACAGCGAGACATTCCAAACGATCGCAATGGTCTTTCCGACTCGGTCGAACAAAATCGTGCCACACGGTTCAGGGAGATAATGTCAATCTGTCGCCGACCATCCTATGTAATGATATTGGCCAAGCGCTTATCTGAAGCTCTCGTGGATGAGGCCACAAGTCGTAGCTACCTAGGTACTATCCTCGCAAATCCTGAACGGAACAAAACGCTCACCAAGACGGCAAAACTTCTCGTGGTAGGATGACAGATACTGGCGCCTACCGGCAGGTGTAATTCCGTAGCCAATGACGCGTAACGCAATGTCGCATTACCGACGACCTTGAGGTATTGACATGTCGTGGGTTAAGATGTAGTTCGCGTCGAGAGGGGGACCTCGGGACCATCCGCGCGCCGCCTTGGCGGCTGCTTCGCGTCTGGCAACCCCTCCCAACGCGATTCGCTGGCGCGCACCTCCTTCCAGACCTTGCATCGCCCCCAACAACACGGCAAGGGCAGACGGCCACACAGGTGCGAATCGGTACTTGCCTAGGAATGATACAACTCTCTATTCCCGAGAGGCATCTCCGCAGCTGCGGTGTTCTGCGGCGTCGCTCTGCATCATGCAGTCCAGATCATCGAATAAGCAATGCAGTGCGATAGCGACACGTTCGCGCAATTGGCGACAATCCGGGGCTGACTTACTGACCTGCACAGTGCAGAAGAGGTAGCATGCTGCCTGCATTGTGAGGCGCAAGCTCACGCGGAGCGACAGGCAACTCTTGTGCACAGTACCTTCCATAGCCTCTTTATCCGCATCCGACCCTCCCACTCTGGCATTGGCAGAATTGATCGTTCATCATGCTACTTCCTACCGCTGCATTTTGGCTGCTCTACATCGCTCGTCGCTCATATGCGTCAGGATCGTACAACCTGCAGCTCGCAGCGTCTGCGTTGAGCCCGCAACTATCCAAGGACGCCATCATCACGTTTCCATGGGATGCTCGTTGGGACGATCTTCAAGTCCGCGGTGCCTCACCACGAATATCTCCCGACTATAATGTGGTAGTTGAAGTCGCGACTGAGTCCGACGTGCAGACAACGGTCGCGTTGGCCAATCGTTTCAACATCCCATTCCTGGCCGTTACCGGGGGTCATGGATGGACCACAACGCTTAACAACCTATCGTATGGCATTCAGATCAACATGCGGAAGCTCAATACTACGACACTCGGTCAGAACGGCAAGACTGCTACTGTTGGAGGCGGAACGATGCAACACGAGATTACCCGCTCCCTGTACGCCTCGGGCAAGTATTCTGGTAGGCTTGAACCCGTACATTCATACGCGTAGTTGCTTACCGTTCTTGTCACCAGTTACCGGGCTTGGAGAATGCGTGTCAGTAGCAGGTCCACTGCTGGGAGGCGGCCACAGTCTCCTCCAGAATCAATACGGCTATTCTCTTGACGGTCTCGTTTCCGCGCGCATCGTCGTTGCCAGCGGCAAGGTTGTAGAAGCTTCCCGGAAGAAGAATGTCGATCTGTTCTGGGCTCTACAAGGTGCAGGCCATCAATTTGGCATTGTGACAAGTCTTGAAGTAAAGACTTACGATATTCCTTCCAATTGGACCGTCTACTCGATCATCTTCTTATCTGACAAGGTCGAGGCGCTTTTCAGTCTGGTCAACGAATTCGAAGAGCCGAGTACGGAACGCTCTGCGAAGCTAGCGCTCACGGGGCTGTTCGTGAGAATACCTGCCGCTGATCCCGTCAATGTAAGCGCAGCCTCGCAATACACCTACCAGATACTGACTGCTCATCAGCCTGTCGTAGCATACACTGTCGCCTACGAGGGCACGGAAGCGGAAGCTGACCCCTATGCCGCTCGTTTCAAAGCGCTCGGCCCAATCTCTACCACGGTCTCCACGGACGTCAACTACGTAGAGCTATACACGGTGACTGGAAACAACCTCGGAGGCCAAGCTTGCAGGCGAAACCAGAACGTTGCAGGAGCCGGTGTCTCTCTACCTACCTGGGATCTTGAGGGTGTTCGCAAAGCCTTCACGTTATTTGGTAACATCACGGCAGATCCACGCTTCAATACATCGATCACTCTGATGGAGAATTACGGCATGCAAGGCGTACGAGCTATCGACATATCTTCCACTGCATTGGCACCCGAGGAACGCGAGTATCCTATTCTTGCATCGCCGGTTCTGTGGTGGGTTGGCGACGATGCGCAGACCACCAAAGATGCATACACACACACGCGCGCAATGCGTGATGCGCTATACACTGGCCTCGACCGCACCAACCAGAAGCGACACTGCTATGTTAATTACGCTAACGGAGAAGAAGATAGGCCTGAGATGTATGGGCACGATGCTAGACTCGCTAAGTTGGTCAAGTTGAAGGTTGAGTGGGATCCGAAGAACAGGTTTGGATACTACAACCCAATAGTGTAGGCAGGAATGCATTCACAGTAGCAGAAGACGAAATATTTTGAGGACGACTTTATTACTAAACTAAACGCAAGTGCGGCGAATGATGGTGCCAGGAGTAACTCGCGTCGAAAACCAGCGCAAACCGCAACGCCAAACCTCACCCGGGAGCAACTCGCGTCGCAACCCAGCGCCGAATGCAACCGCCAAACCTCAGCCAGGAGCGGATATCGCATCTCTCCGCTGCCAAAACAAACACAAAAGTCCGGCGAAGCGACTACAGCCACTTCCAAACGGCCTCGTCATCCCCACTCGCGACGCTGCCCTCTGGATCCCAGTCGAAATCCTTTGCCTTAGGCGGCCACTGCCCCTGACACTCCAGATGCTTTGCGATAGCATCCTCCGTCAGCTCCGCCCCTGACTTCTCCTCCACCTCTTCCTCGACCCCTGACACCTCCCCCTCCCCCTCCTCAGCGGGCAGCGCGAAGGTCCTCGCAGCCTCGTGAAACTGCTTTACGGACATCTTACAGGCATTGTCGACCTCTACGCGCGCTAGCCCCTTGCTGGCGGAAACTTTGGCCTCAGGCCCAAACTCCGAAAAAGTGTGTTTGGTCATCTTCCAGACGGTGACCTCTTTTTCAGAGGCGTTCTGGTCGATTTCTTCAACGGTATGCTTGCTAGCAGTGACCGTGAGGTGTGTGTGTAGTGATTGTCGGGTTTTTCGCTCACCCGAAACGGTTTCGGCATTGTTGAACAATCCCGCTTCGACGCAGGATTGGCCGACGCCAAGGTATTCTGCCTCCTCTGCCATGTACAGCCTGGCCAGGCGCTCAGGCTGGGTGCAGGCGATGTGAAGGCGTTTTGTGGCTGGTAGTGCGTCGCCAAGTACACCCCAGATGTCTGTCCATGTGATGTTGAGGGTGGCGGACTTTGATGGTTTGATGACGATCTCGAGGATCGTGTTCTCGGGATCTATGGCCAGATCTTCCCAGTCTTCTGGGCCCCAGATGGGGAACTTTTGGTGAGAGGAGGACGACGCTGTGGCCTGCGCCTCCTTTGATGTGGTGAAGAGGGCGGCTGGTGACGAAATGCTTGTGACCATGTATTCGTCTTCGTCGAATTCGACGGTTGCTGTTGTGGCCATGCTCGCTTGCCAGACGGCGTCGCGGAGCTCTTTGGGTAGTTTTGGGAAGAGCGTGAAGGTAGACATGGCGATGGTATTGGTATTGATGTAGTAATGGTTTGTCTGGTGTACTGGTATGCGTACTGGTTTTGTCTGAAGCGAGTTCGGACGGGTATGGTAAAATGGGATGAGAGAATAGTTCTGATGAGAGAGAGAGGGGGGAATGGGCTGCCTTTTATTCAGACTCAAAGCGCGCTAACTGCAGTACCAGACTACTCGGCGGCGAAAGGTCACAAGGTCGCCTGTGTCTTTGCTCCACTCAAAGCGTCCAAAGAGCATATTATCACGTCACAAGAGTCATAGAGCTACCCTATGACACGACATAACGAATACACTCAGCGCATCGACCGAGAACCGAGACCCGACATTACACCCCGGAGGTACTCGCCGCGCCATTAGGTGTCTCTGGATACATGATCATATCGCAAAAGCCTTCGGCCAGGAACCGATACCCAAATCCACAGCCGGAGGTACTCGCCGCATCACATAGAATTGTATCGCGCAAGCGTTCGACCAACGATCGAGACCCGATTTTGCAGCCCGGAAGTACGCGCGGCACCATATGGTGTCTCTGGACATATCGTTATCTCGCGAACACCTTCGACCAAAAACCGAGACTCAGTTTTGCAGCCCGGAGGTTCTCGCCGCACCTCATGTTGTTCCTGGATATGTCATTATATCGGTCAGAACTTCAGGCAACCACTTCAGACCCATAACACTAGAGAAGAGACTCCTGCGATATGACACCGGTGCAAGAGTTTTCAAGTCATATGATCGCTCCCATACTTACTCTGCGACCACTTGCGATGGCTTGTGGTCTCAGCAAAGGCAACGCCCGCTCTGCGACTCCCGGAGTTTACCCAGCTGCCCAAAGCTCAGCCGATTACGCATAGTTTACCCGAAGCTATGACAAGTGCGCGTTGCTGTGCTCAATCGTCTTGGAGCTAGTGGCTTTTCTAAAAGACATGTACACATCGCGCTTGTTCAAGTTTCTCGAGACACCTGTTCGATACATCATCTGCTTTTCTCATTCACTAAAGCCGTAAGATACTTCCTATCACTATTTGCTAGTTTATATTGCTATTTTGGATTGCAGTGTCAGCTCAGGTGTCGTTCTCTATCACTCGCCAGTCCGGATTGAGCGCACACTTGTCTGCTGACTAACTCGTCCCCGCTTTCACATACTCTCTTCACAGACCCAGACCTTCCCATCCCTTCTTCCATGCAGTTCTATCCTGCACCTTCTCCACCCTCAAATCACGGCTCCGAGCCTGTTCGTAGATTGAGTCATCAACCTCGGAGAGTTTCCGCCGCTCTCCTGCGTCGCTTTCGCTAGCGTCGTCATCGCTCTCATCTGGATGTACGGACTGGTCGTTGCACGGACTCTCCCCAAGCTTGATAGTCTTCAAGTTTGGCCATTCTGTCTGGCGATCTAGAAGATGCTTGAGGTAGCGCTTGGTCTCGTACGTCGAATCCATGATACCGATCTTCTCGATCGTGGTAGGTAGACGACAAGTTCGGAATGTCCCGTACTTGGCAGAGAAGAAAGCGTCTTGTGGGGCATTAAGACTGCGAAGTTTAGGTAATCCAGCAAACGTGGTCATCGGAGTTGTATCGTGGATATACTCTATCATCGCAATGTACCTGACCAAATCCTTGAGCGCGGGCTCAACGTCCAGAGTTAGATCTGTCAAACTGCAGCTCTTCAGATGCGAGACAATATGCGCGAAAGATCCTCGTGGAAGGTGGGGGAGTCGGAATTCGTCGTATGGGTCGACAACAGCGCGGTACAGAATGAAGAGGTGGGTCAAGTTTGGAAGACCGCTAACAACGCTTCTGAATTGACCGTACACACCCTCCATGTGAGTGGCTTCATAGCAGTAGAGCGATTCGAACTCCGGTTGGATGACCAGACGGGTCAAAGTCGTAGAAACTGTTGCACCAGGTGTGATATGTGATGTCATCGTATTGGCATAGTCTATGGTCGCCAGAGGGTCTTCGAACAGGTCGAACCTCGCGGCTTCAAGCCGGGGTAAACTCAGCCAGCTTGATGGTGCGCGTCCATTTGTTGACAACCGTGTCAGGCTAGAGAGGCCCTGGAAGCAATCTGACAAACTCACGTGCCTGGATATGAGCTCGAAAAGATTTTCGACTTCGGCCCAAACAGCGTTGTTCTTGTCTTGTTCGTAATACAATGGTGAATCCAAGGTCGTCAGCGAAAGCGTACCGAGGGCAGGCGTTATGCACAGGATTATCCCGATGAGAGCCGTGTCTACGCCCCTCACCAGCATGTCTTCCCAGTCCTCGTGGTGAAGCGAAACACCGTTCCTTGAATTGACAGTGCTCGTAAAACCCTGGAATAAGGCCAAAAGCTCCGGAATACCGCAAGTACAGTCCTGTCGGCACTCTTCATAATAGCACCCGCAAGATAAGCAGCTCCGGTGATGCGTGAATGACTTGCCGGATAAGCTGATGTTTAGTTTCCGCACTCTGTTCGCAAGATCGGGTCGCTGCAAGAGAGTACGCGCGAGATTTGCAAGACCTCGTTTTGGGGTCGGATTTGGAGAGACTTCCGTGTGTAAGACCTCTTGCGCAATAGGGCATAGCTTCTGGCAACTCAACGCGAGGTGATTGAGATCGTTGCATCCGTTTTTAGTGTCGTCTCGCAGACATTTGGCGACTGCGACTAGGAGCTCGTCTGGGAGGCCACACAAGTCAGTCATGTCGACGAGCGCGCGTGTCTGAGGCGTGGGGTAATGATCTCAGGTGCCCAGGTGAGATGAGAGAGCGATAGCCTGTTCAGTGCTGGGGAGCAGGAAGTCGCGAACAAGCCTAGTCTCGCCCGACTGGGTAAGCTGCCAACGCGCTATCAGCTGACTCTTCTCTCACTTGCATTTTCAGATGTCGCAAGCTCGAGCAGAGTTCACTCACTGTATCGCAAGGTTGTCTAGTGGTCGCGCTGTGCTCTCTGTCAAAGCTCGTGAAGCACCAGAATGTGTCACTACCAGATAACTTTGGATGGCAAAGCATCATAGATTTGCAATACAGCCTATCAATCTCTTGAGTACTACTGGTCAAGCTCTCACGTGTTGGCTCCGCTGCGTCCATCCCTTCATCTCTCTTCTCTGCAGTCGATATTACCAGCTTTCGAATGTAGTCATCCTCAGTGCCTAGATATAACAGCGCCCTCGTTGCCAAAAGCTTGGTCACTTTAGTCGCGTTGGATTGTGTAGCTGCTTCGTGTGATTTCCCCTCTTTGGTCACACATGCACTTGCCTTCGATAACCGGGCGTTGTGTCAGCTCTACTCACCAGCTTCGCGCCTGATCCACCATTTTATCCAGTCGACGATTCTATACTTCTATGTTTAGATTTGGGCTGCTGCTTTCCTTCCTTCACCATAGCCTTCATTGGAGGTATCTCCGTATTTGACCATTGGGTGGGTCTGTGACGGCTAGCGTGTCCGTTCATTGGACGTGAAGTGCCTTGGCAAGGCCGCTAACCTGATCAACCGTGCCACCAGACAGGCAGCCATCAGCCTTTGCCTGATACGGCGACCTCCAAGCTGCCGTACATAAACTCATAACGTCTTCTCGACAGCTTTCGCGACCATCTACCGTTTACCTCCAGCTACGAAACTCGCGCTGTCCCAATGGCGTCTGATCCTATCCCTCCACCCTCCAATTTTCAGCCACAAAGCCCGCTGTTCTATGTCATACCTGGCGAGATCCGTAACGAGATCTTCCAATTGGCGCTCATGCAGGATGAAGACAGCGCAGCAGCGTATCCGGAAGACTCGTACTGGTACCGGCCAGGTTTCTCAGGTCCGCTCAAGGGCAGCAGTGCGCTTTTGCGCACGTGCAAGCTCGCGTACGCGGAGGGACAGAAAGTGTTCCTCAGAGAGCTGGAATGGGCTTTTTGGTTTAGTATGTTTATGCGAAATCTGTGACGTTACCCCAAACTGATCTCGACGCAGATCGGGGACCTGATGGCCGTACATGCACTCCAGCGTGCGAAAAGTTCTTCCGCAACCTAACTCCACAAGCCGTGCAGTCACTCCAGAAAGTTCGTCTTTTCACGCAGATGTTCTGGCTCGAAGAAGGCGATCAACTATTCTACATCCTCAGCATACCTCAATTCCGACCAACCCAGCTTACTATTACCATACGATACTCTGACTGGTGGTTCTGGGAAAGCAATTCGCCACTGAGTATGGAAGAAAAGTGGCTACGCTACTTCGAAGGGAACCCCGGCTTGCGCGTACTGAGGGTTGAGTACGAGACGCTCAGTTGGAAGAAAGCGGAGATGATGCGCATCATCGATCGAAACAAGAAATGGAAACTACCTGTACGAAGGGAAGGCGGCAACTTCCAGAAGAATGAGCTCGAGGGATATCTGAGCGCTGAGAACACTGAACTGAAGGAATGGACTTGGAAGGGCCCAAGCAAGCTGGGTGGACAAGATTGGATTCACCACGGCACCGAAGATAAGGTCGAATACGTCGTCGTCACAGATACCTGGAAGTTCGTGGAAGGCAAACTCACCGAGAAAGAGATGGAGGGCCGATTGACCACTATGATGCGAGCACCTGAGTTGACGCGGGCCGAGGTGGAAAGACGCCGCAATATAGGCGCATGGCGTGGGAGACTTCGGGAAAGGAAGACTACACAGTATGCAGCTTAGTAGAAATATAGCTTTCTAGCTGGGAGGATTGCGGGGGGTTTGGGGCTACTAGGACTTCGCACACGGACATGTCTCTCGTGAATGTCGGTTCGCACGATTAGCCCCAACATGTCATCATATCAACATGCCACCTTGAACTTTTCTTCTATCTCTATTTGACCTTGCTCATCTCATGAACACTCTTAACATGATGTACATAGTGCTTTTACCTGTATGTGAGTAGACTTCAGATCAATGCGCGTACCGCATAAGGCTTAGGAATATCTGAAAGGAAGGCAGGAAGACACCTAGGCGCTTCCAAGAATGTCAACAATGCGAGCCTTATCCGCTCTCCTGTAGGCGCCGTACGCAGACAAGGCCCCTGTCAACCTGCAGGTATACGTGTGCTACGCTCCCATTGGACCAACGCGCACCTCCCGTAACGTCTGAGGAACGTTGTCGAAACCGGTAGAAAGTCATTGAGTCTCATACATATTATCTCACATTGACTGCTCGCCATTTAGAAATCTTCTCAGCAAAGATCGCGATCTGCATGAGTTCTGGCCAATATTTTGTCGCTGCCGCCATGTCTCCGTCGCGCTCGCAACCAAGGGCTAATGTACTGACCCATCAGCCCACCTCGACCGAAACGACTTCGACGCCTACGAGACCGCGGAGGATGATAGAGAGGGAGTCGCAAATCACGAAACTTGAATCCGCTGTCTTATATCCCCGGCTAGTTCTTTTGGAAGCTCTTACTGGCTTCATGAATAAACCAAAGCAACGAGCAAAATCCGGTCTTGCGATGTGTGAGGCTCGACGAGATTTCCTGGATTCCTTCGCTTATCTTTGCGACGTGGAGAAAGGCGGCAAAACGGTCACGGCTACTGGCTTACAAAGACTAGAGAAGGACAACCAACTCTGGCTGGCTGCTAACGAAGGTATACGCGATGATATCCTGATATATGCAAACGATGTCTTGGATCAGATCAAATCCGCAACCGCAGAGACTCAGAGCATCATTCAAGACCGCATTGTGGCTCTTAGTGTCGAGAAGTGTAAGCCGAGGATACAGGTCTACAAAACAGCGGTGCAGGAACTTGCACTGAAATGCAGAATGGCTCTCCGAAGAGTCGAGAGAGACGACGCCGGTATGTGTGGTATTGCATTCGGATGGGCAGATGCTTACTCAGGAAGTTAATCTTCTACGAACCAAGTTGAAGAAGCTGCATGAGCCGTCACCAAGTATGAGCTTGGGCAGCTACGTTGATCTGTGTCATACTCTGAGAACCGAGTGCATAGAGGCTATCAAGTTACACTCCAGCACCACGGACGACGACTTCGGCAAACTAGCGCATTTTGTCTATCGCATAGGTGCGACACGCGAAGCAGCAAACAAAGTCGTCGAAGCTATGATTCGTGTTCCTTCTCTTCAGCGAATATCCAGGATACAGACCATTAGTACGCCCCAAGTTGTCAAGAAGACCATATCGCCAAGCTGCATGAGTCCACATGAGGTCTTTTACGGTGTGCTCAAAGAGACCAGCCCAAATGTTCCTTTGAAGTTTCAACAAGCATTCCTCCAGCTATACCATTTGGACTCATTACCAACGAGACCAATCTATAACCACATGGTCTCGAAAGAAACGGTAGTGACCAGGATACACGCCGAACTCCAAATTGCAGACAAGTTCGCCAGGTCGCAGGCCATCAACTTCGTTGACGACGACAAGTATATCGGGTGCAGCAAGCCAGCGTGTTATTTCTGTTACAATTGGCTTTGCCTTCACACGCAGGGTTATTCTGAGCCTGCAACCCACTGCAAAGTTATACCCGGCTGTCGTGGACCAGACTATGAGCTGAACGATGCGGGGACGGATGTCATGATATCCATGTACAGTAAGATCAGCCGGCAGGTGGGACAGGATATCTTTGCGTTCCTGGAAAAGGATACGCCGCCACCAAGGGTACCTTATATGTCTACTGATGCTGGAAGTCGGGCGCCGAGTCGCATGTCGGGGTTCTAAAAGTGAATATGGACTATAGCATATCCAAGATGGTATACTCGTGGGTCATCTAGGCATTATAATGCACATGCCTTCGGCAGTTATTACCACTGCAATACTACAAGAAGTCTCCACGCTCCTACCACCCGTGGCCAATTTTGATATCAATAATTCTCAGCGCTCGACAACTCTCAACTCCAACTTTTCTGGCTGTCTGACATGAAGCAGCAGCGGGTCTGCACATGAGTCCCGCAAAATACTCACCACCTTCTGTCCAGCCACACCCACCGTCTCGCCGTCTTGACACACCACTTCAACCCGGACCTTTTCCAGGACGCTACTCAACGCACTGCAAAACTCCACCTTACTAAACTTCATCCCTGGGCAGATCCTCGGGCCAGTCCCCCATGCGAAGAATCCACTACCACTCGTTGGGTGCCTGAGTTCTTCAGCAGACAGTATCTCGGGTAGAGTTACCCTGCTACTACCGGCGGATTGCGACTGAATCCAGCGCTTCGGGTTCCAAGTAAGCGGATCGGGGAAGTTGGCGGATGAGGTGTGAGAAGCCCATGAGTTGAGCATGATTTGGGTGTTAGCCGGAAGGACGATATTCTCATGGGCTTTCTTGGATTCTAAACTGGTCTGTGGGATAGTACGCTGGGGATGTGCAGGAAAGGGTAAACGCGGAAGAGGCGGCGAAGGACTGTAGAGACGTAGCGTTTCGTACTTGCAATTCTGTTAGCCTGCGATCATGCTCCGCGCAATAGTAGATGGCCGGTGTTTATGAAGAACGAGGACGTACCATGACAGCCATTACCCTCTTTAGTCGAGGGAATACTCTTGCATACTCCGGGTCATCAGTTGCTTCGTCTTTCAGAACTTCATCTAGCTCTTCCACTACCCAGTCTTGGACCTCAGGGTACACAGCCAGTAGCGCCAATGCATATGATAGCGTGATAGATGTAGACTCCAGTCCACCAACTGTGAAGATAAAGACATTGCCTCTGATCTCAACATCCGAGAGTTTGGACTTCGAAACTCCGCTTCCAGACTTGGCTTCGTCGTTTGCCCTGATGAGCGTGCTGATGAGTGTAGCAGCTTTGGATTGCCCGCTGGCCACTTTTGATCGCTCTTTCACGACGGTTTCGTCCATGTACTGCCGGAACTCACGCATGGCGAGTAGCAGTCTCTTAGTACTAGTTGGAAGTAACGATTCGAGTATGGGCAGTTTGAAGAGTAGCATAATACCCTCTATAGCCGGTGAGATTGAAGTACCCATCACCGTTACTAGTGCATCGCGAAGTGACAGTTGGTGACCTAGTGTCGGTTCATTGACTTCTGTATTCTCGAAAGCGACCGAAGAGATGACGTTGAGCGCCAGTGTACTGGTGTCCTTGATCATGCTGTTCGTGCTTCCGCCGGGTGATGAGAGCCAACGCTTGATCATGTTTTTCGACTGTTGCAGAGCTTCGTTCCATACCGTGGCTGAGGCTCGCTCGTTGAAGCAAGGCGCTGTGAGTTTGCGATGACGGATCCAATCATCACCATTTGACTTTTTGCATTAGCTTTTACGGTCCTGAGTACTAAGGATATGGGGTGAACTGCGAGTTTCCAGAGCATATGGCACATACCGTGTCAACGTTTTGCCCAAACGTGCCCAATATCTCTACAGCCATAGTCAGTTTCCGCTTCCAGTGTCCTATCACACATTGTCGGACTCACCATTCACATTATCCGGCTTTACATAACCCCTCCAATCCTTGAGTACATGTTCAATCGTTTTCGGATCACTTGTACATAGCACATTATGCCCTGACGCCACCACAATGAAGCAAAGGCCAAGTTCTTGATGTAACTTGTCGTCATCTTCCCAGCAGCATGTCCAGTCAATGGCCCTGAACCACCGGTAGCTTTCTAGGTACGTTCGGAATAGACCGACTACCAGCTGCCATTGTAGAGTATATGGGGTGACAGGACTTATGATGATGCGCAAGCCAGACTTGCGTGCGGACACGTAATTGCGATAGAGTTGGTAGAGCGGATAGGTGACAAAGAAGTGAACGAAAAGGCAGAGTATCGATGCGATGATCATCTTATCAGGATCTGGCCGATGATGTGAATCTCTGATTGACTACGGGCACCTTGGTGTAGCTAGAGTTTAGAGGGCACTGGACATCTGTGATCTAGGTGTCTGCGCGCTGAGATTGCACATCATCGCGGGGTCACACATGCGTCGTGCTTATTGAGGTAGGCGCAACTTGACATTCATGGATGAATGTCAAAAAGTTGGCTTTATCTGACTATTGACTTTTCACTTATGCGAAGATACGAACTATCGGACAGAGATAATCGCATAGCAGTAGAGGCATGAAAACGCAATGCGCACGCGCAGCGCGCATGCAGGCGCATATCACACGCGTGATGTCATCCTACTCTACATTACAACCTCCACGAGCAAGGTTGCAGCAGTACAATCCTGCCACATCTGAGACACGAGCAAGCCTGCGCATGCACGCCTCACCGAGGCACGTCTGCAATGCAGGGTCAAAGATACCGAACGTGTCAAAACATGCAGAGCCGACCCGCGACGCACGTCAATTACTCGACAGGAGGGATGCGCCCGTCTTGGGTTGAACATGGCATCGTGGACACTTGCAACATAGAATGTTTGATCTACAACATGTGTTCGCAGGAGATTGCGGATGGGTATTTTGCTGGTTTTACCGTAGTAGCAAACTTGTATGTTTCAGGCTTTAGCCTGGCTTGTTTCATGGATCTGGTAGGTGTGTGTGATTCGGAGTGGGTTGGGGAGAAGCATTAGCCGGTCGCGATGAATGATGATGTCGCGATGAGAGGCGCAACGGAGCCGAACGTGTCGGGGGATTGTCAACTTTCCCGCGAATTGGAATGCAGTCGTCAACAGTAACAGTGATGTTGTTTCCACAGTAATTCCATATCGTTGATGTCAACAAAGGCAAGGCAATGGGACCCAATGCGTGGATATGCGCATGCTGCATGTACACTGAGGCAGAACTGTAGGTACGCGTGGGGAGCAGTCGGTGGTCGACACCCGACATGGCCGTCTGCGATGCGGGGTCAGAAGGCAAAGACCTAGTATTGGTGGTTGCAGGGTGTGTAGACGTAAGTATACATGCGTGCTGAAAGGTAGCACCACGCTATGACACCTGGTACCGTGGTTCGCATAATGCGAACCCAGCCACAAGGCAGGCGCAGCAAAACTCAAGCAACTTCAACATGACTAAATGAACTACGACGCTGGACTGCAACACGATCAATGCGCGAGTTCTCTCGGCCCGCGATGCATGCAGAGATTTTCCTACCAGATCAGCCCATGTTCCTCAGCCACCCCGGCGTATCCCGGGATGGCTGGCTGAGCACGTTCTCCTCGGTGTATTCGGATAGCGATGGAAGAGCTCGAGCATCCTGTGTGTGGACCACCGTTGACGCGTATCTAGCTTTTAGCAACGCTTTGGCGTGAATAGCCCGGGCCTAGGCGTCATAGCCCGTTACATTCGGTGAGTAGTCCGTTCGCATAGCCACGGATTAGAGGTTCGGCCAAAACCAGCTCGGCTCGAAGTGTTTTTGCTTTGCTCGGATACGACAACACGACCCGGTAGTCCTGATTTTGATTACCTATCGAAACACGCTAGACGATTCGAAGGCTAGAAGGGAAGGCGTAGGTGGTAGAATATCGCGCGATGCTCTCGGTCCTGTGTAGAGACCCTCGGATGGGAGCTCTAGAATGCCGTCATATTACCGACGCACTGAGGTATATTGACCATGCCTTTAAGCGACTGTGGTGATTTATCCAGCCGCCCACTACCAAGGACGCGGGTAACGCACTTTGCTTTCCCTAGCGAGCCGGTGTAGTATCGAGAAGATATCGAAGGTGGCGTGTTTCCAGTAGATAGCGCAATAGCGCTTGCACGCGTTATCTGTTCGCCTGTTGCCCGGCGAAAGTACGTCTTTGGATAAAGATCAGTCGATGTATGGAGCGTCGATACCGGTACAGCCGCGTTCTGCAGTAGTATACCGGGTCGCTATGTGTCCATACAGCTGGGTCCGACGGTCAGTACAGCAAGGACGTCGCGGTAGGCTGAATGCACCCATGGAAATCCATCGCCGCCTATGCATAGTTGCGCTGAGACCCTTCTTAGAACGTATGTTCCTCAATTCGAGTCATTCCAAGGTTCTTGATCATCGTATGTAATCCGCTTCATAGCGTGGGGCATACTGCAGTGTACCCTGAATTGTGGCAAGACATACAATTGACGCATGTAGGTATGTCGTGCGGATCATGCACCGCCCTAGCCACAAGCGACTCTGCTGCGAGATGGCAGCCTGCTTTGGCTGCCGTTGAGATGCTGCATGGAGGCGGAAGTCGACATGTGTGCCCACCGGCGACTTTCTGACTCAAGTGACGATTCCAAAACGTCTGCGTCGCTGCCGGCACTTTAGAAGTACATACATACGCTGAGCGTGCGGCGCAGCGGGGGGAGCACGGCCGTCTACTTCACCCTAGCTCGCCAGCAAGCTTTTAGATTGCTTCAACCTTCCATTGAAGATCCGAGGTACAAGAATAGAAGAGCGGTGAGGGTTTCGCTTCTAGAGGATGTTTGTTGCCGGCAAAACGGGTAGTCATCTCAACCGAACAATGAACCCCTCACTTCGATTGTTCATTGTTGAACTTTGTTGAGCATCGAAGAGCATCTGGAGTGCAATCGAAAAGACGCTAGAGAACGTCGGAACAAGCGAGTCGTCCACAGAGCGTGACAAGGGGTGGGGCGAAAACCCATGAAGCAAGACCGGTGAGCGTGTCGACCCGCCAATCAAAATCAGAGGTCGCACCCCACGAGCTGCAAGGAGCGGTCGTGGCTTACTTGCTCCGTCGATACCCCGATAACGGCTCTGCTGTCTCCTGACGTGGCCGGTGGTGATTGGTAGCCGAACGCCTATCTGAACGCTTGAACGAGGATGTGGTGCTGATCAATATGGAAGCAAGGGCTCCAGAATGACCGTCGCGGGAGAATTCAATATCTCGCTCTGAATCCACGGCGGTCGCTTCGCGCTCGTGTGCTATCAAGCGAAGACATGAAATTGTCAGTGGAACCGCACGTGAAGGCCTTATTCCAGCAGTTCGATCGAGCCGTGATCGTGGACGACTGAGGGGCACGAGCTTGGCTCAGACCATGCAGGGATACCCTATATCACATGCATATGCAAGTGCGGCTTGCTGCATACGCGGCGTTATCCAATCGAAGGCTAGATTGTCCCAAGCGCGGCCGCATTGCGGGATTGCCTCACGCTGCAGGAACGTTCGTACATGTGTTCGAGATGGTCTTTGACTTGGACGTGGAGAATGATTTGTTTTCTCCAGAGCGGTCTTCTCAGTCAAGCAAATGATAAGCTTGGTAATTGTACTAAGCAGGCTCAGGGCGACGCCCTCCTCCGGGGATACAGACAGCTGTGGCCCGAGTACAGATTGCGCTTTATTGCCAGTTGGACAGGAATGTACACAGACCCCACTGCGTGGCCACTACACGAGAACACGATGCTCGAGGGAGCTAAGGCTGATGCAACAAGAGTCGCCCTTTTGATGAACCCTGTCAAAGGGTCGAGAATAGAACGCTGGTCTTGTGCTGAGAGGTTGAAACCTCTGGGCGCTCGACCGGGTCGGTCAAGGACGGGTATTTGCTCTGACACACTGAAGTTGCCAGTCCCGACTGCCGCTGTGGTGGTGGTCAGCAAGTAAGAGGTAGAGACAGGCGCGGGCCTTTCTCCACGATCCGCTCCCACATCGCGCCGGCTGCACTGCACGTTTATTTACACCTGTGCATATCTGCTAGCCACGGTAGTCCACGCGACGAGGGTGTGACTGCGCCTTGGTGAGGAGACGGTGCGCACAGCTCCTTGAACGTAGACTTACACACGGTAATACGGTGCGGGTCGCTTGAGCTTCTGGTCCTACCTTTCGCCTCTGGTGTGATTCACATACTAGCAACTGTACTACCGCACTGTAATAGAGTTCCTGGCATGGCCATTCCAATCTTGGCGAGGATCAACTGACGATGCGATATGCACCGACAGCCCTCATCTGATGCCGTCAGTAGTGGTACAGGTGTGCGGGAATGTTGTTCCCGACCAGACTTGAGACCACATGTTGCAAGATAACATGGGAGGATTGGCCGTCAGAGCATCAGTGTGCGCTCCGCGGCTAGCAGGGGGGATCAGATGGATGCGAACAGTTGGTTTGGCGCCTGAGGCGATAACATGGGCAGGACAGGTGCCAACTGTCAAGTGGCTGGCCTGCTTTGAGTCCCAGAGTCGAGGCTGTCACCGTTCGCATGGTTGTGGCAGGGATGGAGGCGGATTCTCCCGTGCGCTGTGCTGCGAATCCCGTGACGCAGTGACATGGCAGGGCGTTTC